CTGATGCTGGTTGGCCTGCTGTGTTCATCCAGCTCTACACCTTGTTATCTCAGAGTGAATAATGCTGTTTTAGGATCATGTATCAGAATTATAGTGAATTTTCTTTATATCAAAGGATTGCATTCAATTGTTCTGTGCCTTCAAGTTCCATATCTTCTGGTTAGTGATAGACGAAGATACCTTTTCTCCAACTATGGCTTAGTTTCAGAAGGAACTAAAACTGCTGCACCTGTGTCTAAATTAAAAGCATGTCTTGCTTCTCTCTACTATGCTATCAACACTCCGGTAGGTTTTACTCGGTTCCTTCGTCTCACTAAGGAAAGGCATCCACACACTATTGGTGCTTCCTATTTTAAAGTTCTTGCCATCATTTAAGGCTTCTCTTGGCTTATTCTGTACAATTTTCTTATGTCGGCACAAAGCTCGGAAATTACCTTCTTACAAAAATGCCATTTAGCCTCAGGCAGGACTGTTTTTGCGCTTATGTTTTTTTCTGCCACACCAATAACATTTAGCTGGGATCGGTGATGCATCCTCTTCTTATCTTCCATTTTGCAATGACCACCCCTCTGCTTTTAAAATGAACATATTACATTGAAACCCCCTGAATCACCAACCAATTTTATTCCTGACCTCAACATTGCTGGTTCACCTGGAGCAAGATTAAATTGCTTTCGTTAACATTGTCATCCCTATCTGCAAGTTGTCAGCCAATGGCTTATGTAAGATTCTTACAACAGTTCAGACCCTGATTAATTCTTTCGAGCTGTCATACAGCTCTCTGCACATCTGTGCAGATCATTGATAAAAGTATGAATACATTGCCCTTGTTGCTGAGTATGTTTACTAAAGTTAGCCCTCTTGACTAGTTTTTTTTTGGCAATAAGCATGCATACTTTCATTACTTCCTCTTACATAATTTTTTCTTCATCACTCCCTTGCCTGATTAGGATATTGTCTGCTCTTTGTTTGGCTCTGCAGTGAGACCAGATGCTTTGTAGTACCAACAATTTGTAGGGTATTAATGTTTGCATGCTCCTGTGTGATAGGGACTTATAATTTGCTTGAGGTATACATGGTACAGTGCATTTTCAAATTAGTTGAGCAGCATATGTCTCCTCTCTACCTCTGACCAGATGATCTGGATCAGTAAATCTGAAATGCAAGTAATATCTCATTGCCAAAACACAAATAATACTGACCAATAACATGGGAAATACTTCCATAAGATCCTGGAGTTAGCTTTCAAATGTGGTGACTGGGAGTATTCACTAACAGACTCAATGGACAATATGATTCCCTTTGCTGAGCTTAGTCCAGAGTCTCAGTAGGTTGCCCGAGTAACTGTGGCTGATCATAGTATAATCAACTTGCAAACTGAGAGAAGGCAACCCAATCGTGAAGGCATTGCTGGCTATGATTTCAGTTTTGCAATATTTTATCCTCCTTACATAATAGGAGATGGTGGTATAATGGTAATGGTAATGGGATTAGCAAACCAGGCTAATGCTCTGGGGAATATCCAATCTTGGGAGTCAGTGATATTGGAATCTGAAACAAACCTGGAATTGAAAAGCTAATCTTTGTGACAGTGACTTTGACAACTTTCATAGATAAGTTTTCACAACAATCTATTTTCCTAATATCCTTTACAGAAGGAAATCTGCCATCCTTACCTGGTCTGGCCTATATATGACTCCAGAGCCACAGGAATATGATTGTCTCCTAAATGTCCTGCATAGGGAAGTTTTGTAAGAGGCTTAGCATTTTAACTAGCAGAGCCAACGGTCCTTAGTTGTTTACCTGTTATTTATTTCAATAAACAATAATCCTTGTTTTTTTTTAAAATAGATTGGTAAATTAGGAAACTTCAAGATTTTTTAAAAACATGAACTTTTGAGACAACTTGGGGAACACTGGAGATTGCTGTCCAGTGCAGTACCCCCCAGTGGGCTAGAACACTGCAGAAACACTGCAACAACCAAAGAAAAAGATAGAAAGGCCATATTTCATCATTAATGAACCCAGTTCTGTGACCAAAATGTAACCCCTTTATTTTAATTCATGATTCAACCCTCAAAAATCACAACATAACACTAACAGTCAGAGGAGACTTAAGAAGCTTGACTGGATGGAAGGACATCCATGACAAAAGAAAAAAACTTCAAGCTAAGAGCACTGATTATTCTTTTGTTTTGATGCCTGTAATAAATGGTTTTAGTGCTGCTTATAAATGTTTAAGTCTTTAAAGTAGCTAATTAACATATATAGTCGATTAAGCTTGTTTGACTACAGCCCAGTCTCAAATTATTGATTTGTTGGTGTATTACTGGACCCAAAATACAAACAGGAAACCAAACACCATAACTGGTGGTGAATTTGGGCCAAACTACTGGAGTATGGGAATTCATTACTACCATAAATCAATTGATTTTTCTTTCAGAAGTTTATCATTATTAACATCAAAGTCAACTGATCAGTATTTTTATAGCCTGGGATGATATCTTAATTTTTTTCCAAAAATGATTTATCATAATCTATATGCACCTTTATTTTTACTGTACAGTTTTTCGTATGTTAGCTTGTGATGAGTATATCAGAATAGAAAAAAAATGACAGTGAAGCTAAAACACAGCATGTAAAATGGTTTAACAAGGTGTAGAGCTGGATGAACACAGCAGGCCAAGCAGCATCAGAGGAGCGGGAAAGCTGACGTTTCGGGCCTAGACCCTTCTTCAGAAATGGGGGAGGGGAAGGGGGTTCTGAAATAAATAGGGAGAGAGGGGGAGGTCCCCCCACAACCTCCGGATCCAACGCATCATCCTCCGACACTTCCGCCATCTGCAATCCGACCCCACCACCAAAGACATTTTTCCCTCCCCACCCTTATCTGCTTTCCGGAGGGACCGCTCTCTCCAATGACTCCCTTGTCCGCTCCAGCCCTGCCACACCCGGCACTTTTCCCTGCAACTGCAGGAAGTGCTACACCTGCCCCTACATCTCCCGCCTCATCCTCATCCCAGGCCCCAAGAAGACTTTCCACATCAAGCAGATGTTCATCTGCACATCTACTAATGTGGTATACTGTATCCGTTGTTCCCGTTGTGGCCCCCTCTACATCGGGGAAACCAAACTGAGGCTCGGGGACCGCTTTGCAGAACACTGACGCTCGGTTCGCACTAAACAACTGCACCTCCCAGTCACAAACCATTTCAACTCCCCCTCTCATTCCTCAGATGACATGTCCATCCTGGGCCTCCTGCAGTGCCACAACGATGCCACCCGAAGGTTGCAGGAACAGCACCTCATATTTCGCTTGGGAACCCTGGAGCCCAATGGTATCAATGTGGACTTCACAAGCTTCAAGATCTCCCCTCCCCCTACCGCATCCCAAAACCAGCCCAGCTTGTCCCTGCCTCCCTAACCTGTCCTTCCTCCCACCTATCCCCTCCTCCCACCTCAAGTCACACCCCCATCTCCTACCTACTAACCTCATCGCGCCCCCTTGACCTGTCCGTCCTCCCTGGACTGACCTATCCCCTCCCTAACTCCCCACCTACACTCACCTTTACTGGCTCCATCCCCGCCTCTTTGACATGTCTGTCTCCTCTCCACCTATCTTCTCCTTTATCCATCTTCTATCCGCCTCCCCCTCTCTCCCTATTTATTTCAGAACCCCCTTCCCCTCCCCCATTTCTGAAGGGTCTAGGCCCGAAACGTCAGCTTTCTTGCTGCTCTGATGCTGCTTGGCCCTGCTGTGTTCTGGCCAGCTCTACACCTTGTTATCTCAGATTCTCCAGCATCTGCAGTTCCTACTGTCTATGTAAAATGGTTTTGTATGCTGAAACTGGAAATGTAGAAGACAATCAATTCAATGGAATCCAAACCATAAGTCAAACATTTAAGAGATCATTGCACACCTGAAAGAGGTACCACTACATATCAAACCTAATGTGTTAGAAAAAAGTTACATATGGCACATTCATATTGCACATTTATCAGTTATCAGGACTGCAGGAATAAAATGGAATTACATCAAAAATATGTTATGTCATGATAAATTCTCTCAGACCAACACAGAAGCTCTGGTATATTTTGAGCAAGTCTTTTCAGAACCTAAGGAATGCATTAAACTCAACTGCTGACCTACAAATCAGTATAAAAATAACCACATTTGGTCTAAAAAAAATCTGTCTGCTTTTATGCTCCATTTAAACCTCCTCCCATTTCACTCCATCAACATATCCTTTTCCCTTCTCCCTCATACATATTAGCTTCTCCAGTTATCAACTGCACTCTTAAGTGCAATGTCTGGTGTTCTGACAGCTCTTCTTTCTCCTCAGTCACAAGTTTCTGTTCCCCACGCTGTACTGCTGAACAAATGGAGTCAGAATTGCACATACTGAATTCATATGATACTGGAAACACAAAATGAGTGAAACTCAAGTGGATCAATGAGCTGGCTCTGTTTATCAATTAAATGAATGTGACATGTTACACAGACAAGTTTCTCAGGGCAGAAACATGGGATTATTTTTACTAACAGTTTGTTAATTTTTTTTCATTAACAGTGAAAAGACTAAAGGTACAAAGCAGACAAACTCAAGGTGTTAGAAGTTGCTGTAAACTAGCATGGGAATACCACATTAACAAGGAGAAGTTTGATTTTGGCAAAATTCAACTGATAAGCTAAAGTCCCGAGGCAAGCAAGACAAGATCCCTGGAGGTGGAAGAAAGGTACAGCTTGACCAACAATGTCTGCGAAATATTCACCAGGGAGACTGATGTCAATTTTTGGAATGAATTGAATAAGAAACTACATCTACAAATAACCAAAAATTAACAGAAACAAGAGATGATTCTCATTTAGACTTTAGAAACAAACGTTTTAAAAGCACCACTGTCAAAATACATTTCCATTGAGTATGCATCATCATTCACAAAGTGTGCAGAACAGGTGTTCATAACTAGCTGCACAAAAGTCTATTTTGACTAATTACCATGTATAACAAACACCCTATCTTCTCAATAAATGTTGAGAGAAAACTGCATTATTTAGAAAATTACATTATTTATTGGACATCTACTATGTGCTTATCCACCAGCTTGGTCTGCATCAAACTTATAGGACGAGTGCCAGATGAGAGATATAAATCAGAAAAAGCATGTAGTTCTTTCAAACACCTCTCTCAAACGAGACAATTTATAAGATGAAATATCCATCAGCTGGCCTAAAAAAACAAATCAAAAACTTGGCACAATAAAAATTTACTCATATAAATCAAAACTATTCTTCTGTTGCACTAGCTTGCTTTTGAGATTAATTGTTTTGGGTTCTAAATGAAAATGCTGGTTTAATGACAAATTATGGGCAGGTGTGAACTGTGCCAGTAGATTGTCTTAAGATGATAATGGTTAAACTATTCTTATATTTCCTGGAATTTAAAAGAATGTCAGGTGATCTCAACATTCAAAACTCTCAGTGTGATTGGATGGATGTTCTCAGGACATTTCTCTGAACTGGGATTCTAGAATTAGGGATCACAGTCTCAGAGTAAAGCTTTGGCCATTAAGGGCTGCGATGACAAGAAATTTCCTCAACAAAGCATTGTGCATTTCTGGAATTCCCCACATCAGAGAACTCTGGAGGCTCAGTCAACATATTCAAGACAGAAATGAATAGATTGTCAGAAACTCATGGAATAAGAGGTACCGGGTTAGTGTGGGACTGAGTATATTTGAACTGTCCAATCACCATCTCCTGTTTTTGTCTTTTAAGATTGTTCAAACGACTTTCGCACAGGGCCCTATAGTCAGCGAAATAAAGAGAGGGTTTTATTTTTACATTCTCAAACATGCCTGAAACCATATTAGATGGCAACAGGAACAACGTGTAACCTCACGGTCTTATCAGTTGCTGTAACTTGATCTCATCGGCAAAATTTACAGCTTTCATACCAGAAGATCCAAATGGGAATCAAATCTTTACATATCTGAAGTTGAACACGCTATTTCTGAGCTTTGAAATATTTGGTCAGGCTGCAAGGAAACCTCAAAAGGAAAACATTATTTCAGTTTAGGTCCTACTGTCCCACCTACCTTCCCAATATGAGGAGGAAGTAGAAGAAACAGAATGATCTAACAAATATAGGAGTTCACATATTCATACATTATGGAACGTTTTTTTGACCTGCAATATTGGAATACTCTTATTTAGAACAAAGCATGTAACAGACATATATTGATGGAAAAATATGAGCTAACACACAATTAAGAATTAATCAATAAAAACAATGAATATATAACTTAACAAACAAAGGTTCATTTGTCATGCAAAGAAAATAAGTCAGTCAATCTCGTAAGGCTTCATGATATTTACATATTAATAAAACAGTACCTATCAAAACTGATCAATAAACCAGTTTAATAATCCAGTGTATCCATTATTTGTTACTCTTTATACAACCAGAACAGCAGTGACTCATAAAAACGAATACATAGAAACATGCATCTCATAGCTAGAAAGTTTCATCAATTAAACTTCACATCACATTTTCCCTTTACAACACAGCCATTTTAATCAACACCCAATGTAATGGCTTAAAAATTCATTCATAAGCTGGAATTTTACAAGAATTGCACTTAATTGTAAATTGTATGTGCTAACACAATACAAAGCAGTCACGTCCTTTTACAGCCTATGTGGACTCAGACCACCAAAAGGGTAAAATGTCCAACCAGAATTGAAATACATTCTTACAATGTCTTAAAAGTTTGGTCTCAACCAAATTACATGATCTAGTAAGATCACTACCTACTCTGCTTATCACCATCTGTATTTTTTATACCATTAGGAGAGAGTTCTAGGACAGGGTTCACAAAACCTGCATATTCAGAATTCCCATTGTCATCCAATTCTGCACTGACAAAATCATTTTCCCATTCCAGTCCAGTTGACTCATCTGATGCAGACAGTGGGTTGCTCCCAGGTCTATGACTGCTGTGCCTCAAGGCTGCTTGGAGAATGTCTTCTTCAGTTCTAGAGCGCTCTCTCATTGGAATCATTCTATTAATCCCTTGAATGAAAAAAAAGTATTTCCTTTTAGTCCAGCAGGATAAAGAATACCAGTGCTTATCACAAAACAGTGTTAAAAAGTCATCTTTTCCAATTTTACCATTTAACGAATCATGACTGTATTCTTGTTACAATCTACAGCAGTGACAAATTATAATAAAGCAATTTTGACACAGTAATATGTATTAAGGCATTCACAAGAACATTTTCAGGCAGAATTTTATCAGAACCACAAAGAGGGATCAGGACTGGTGACCAAATGCGTGGTTAAGGAGATTGGTTTTAAGGAGCATCTTAAATGACCAGGAGGGTAGGAACGGGATTCCAAAACATACTGCTTAGGCTGCTGCAGGCATGGTGGCTAATGGTTGCACAAAATAAATCAGAATTGCACAAATAAAAAACAAAACTGGAGAGGACAAGTATTCTTGGATAATGATGCGACCAAGGGAGGTTATAAATAGGGATGTAAGAGGCTTTTGAAGAGATCGAGGACCAGGATGGGAATTTGAGAGGCTGCTGGACTAGTAACTCATGGAGGTGACAGCAGTGACGATAAATGCTCGGGAATTGCTCAAAAAGGAATTTTTTTTTGAGGGGTCAAATTTATGGAAGATTGGAAGCTTGCCCAGGAAAGCATTGGAATTGTTGATTGAAGGGTAACAAAAGTACAGATGGTTTTAGCAGCAGAAAGACTGAGACAGGTTACAAATAGATGCTGTTAGAGTTGGATTCAAGCAGTCTTGGCATTAGTGGTAATGGTCGAAGTTCTGCTCTGGGTCAAATAGAATGCTGAGGTTGTAGAGTCTGATTTAGCCTCAGATAATGGCTAGGGAGGAGAATAGAATTGCTTATTAGGGAACAGAGTTTGTGCTGGGGGCTAAAGTATTTGATCTTGCTGATACTTAGTTTAAAAAAACTTCTTGTTCGTTCAACAAGGAGTGTCAGACAAGCCGCGTGACAAATAAGATATAGTAAATAAAAGGCAAGAATTATAATGAGATAAAGCTGGGCTTCATCAGCATATGTTAAATCTGACATTGTATTTTGGGATGTCAAGCAGCAGCATTTAGATGAGAACTAGAAAGGGCCGAAAGTAGATCCATGATTAAATAGTAATCAGATCTGAAAGTTCCAAAAACTTCCAAAAGTTATAAATTAAAACACAACACTCTCCGATACAGTAATGATATAGGTGAACAGAACAAATCATCAGTCAATAAAATATCTCAGTCTGTAATTGTTCAGTGGCAAGGAGATTATCTATGCACAAATTGCACAGTGTTTCTTGGAAAGGTCAGACACTGGACAGTTTTGATTTGTCAGCACTTTGACAGCTGCTTGAGAATAAAGCACTGGTGCATAGAATTTCATTGACAGCTGAAAATGAGCTGATGTTTGAGAGCATGGAATTGTTGCCCATCAATGTAGACAGTGGCACTGAATATGGAATACGTATAGCTAAAGTCATGTCATTTTATACATTTTTACAGCCTTTGCAAGTGGCTGCTTGTCCATGGGGAAGTTCAATTCACTCACTCGGGCAAATGCAGCATTGGTTACATACAAAAGATTCCAAACAGTAGAAGCTGCAGTAGCCTATTTGAATCTCCAAGCTTGCTCACCACTCAATAACATGACTGATCTATGACCTTACTCCAGTTTTCCCTTCTCCCTTAAACCCCTTAGCATCCATAACTATAGCAGCTGTCTTGAATGTAGTTGACGACTGAACATTCACAGTTTTTCAAGGTGAAGAATTAAAGATTCAAAAATCTGAAGAAACCCCTCATCTCAGTATATTCTTAGCCTGAGACCAATGTCAAGATTCCCCAGCCAGGAAAAAAAATCTTCTCTGCTTCTACATTGTCAAGCCACTTAAGAATCGTATATATTTCAGTTAGATTATATTTCATTCTTCTGAACTGCAGCAAATTTCAGTCTAATCTACTCAATCTTTTCGCACAGGACAAAAGTATAGCCTGATACTAGGAATCAGTCCAGTGAACTTTCAAATTTTTAAAGTTTATCATGGGATGGGAGCACGTTGGCTAATCCAGCATTTATGCCTATTGCACTGGAGATGGTGATAAGTCAACTACCTTCTTAAACTACTGCAGTCCTTTCAGCAGGGGTAAACCCACAATGTTATTAGGAAGGGAGTTCCAGGATTTTGACCCAGTGATAGTGAATGAATGTAATACAGTTCCAAGTCAAGATGGTGAGTGGTTTGGATGGGAACTTTCATTGCACCCCTTTTATGGCAATATTTCCTACTTGCCACTGACAAAATATACAAAGGTTACAGTTGCTGGACCATAGAAATAAAACAGTCATCTCGAGGAAGTTGCTTGCAGCAAAAATAAAAATATTTCTGTTTGATTTGGAATTACAATAAACTTCATAATATCCAGCATGCATGGGAAATGGTGGTGCTGGTTACAGGGATGTGCTGGTTGTAACCAAGACTGCTCACAAGTACTGTCAGCGAGTTTTGATCAAAAGGAGAGAGAGGAAGATATGACCAAACGATCAGTTCCCAGTGTGAGGAAACCTTCTTTCATCGATTGTCAGTTGCATGAGAATTCCAGATAATAGGGGACTTTATTATATTCACTCCAAATGCAGCAGAGAATTATTTTAAAAGCAAACTATAGTTTGGATCCCTAGAACAGGCTTATTTTGCCACACTTTACAGGCTTTGATGGTCAGAGGCAAGATCAAAGCAGGCCAAAACAACATGACACAACTGTCCTTGCTCGCAAATGACTCATCAATTTTTAAAACTTCTAAAAACTGAAACGGTGGGTTTTGACATCTTAAGAAAACCCAGTAATTTGGTCATTTCTCTGAACTGGACAGAATGGTTAGGTTCAGTTTCAGCACCTTTGAATAGAAAATTAATCTTCAAGTCTCGTAAGAAACAAGTCACAATGAAACTCCTAGAAGAAAGACAAATTTTCTGCAAGATGGAGGAGGAGTAGGCTCCTAAGTTGAAGCTTGTCCACTCTGTTTCATTTTCTTTTTTTTTAAACCTCTCTACTTACCTCCATTCCTCAGTTTCGAGGTAAAGAATTACAAAGATTCAAAAATCTGAAGAAACCCCTCCTCATCTCAGTATATTCTTGGCCTGAGACCAATGTGAAGATTCACTAATTCCAAAAATCTTTTCTCTGCTTCTACGTTGTCAAGCCACTTAAGAATTGTATATATTTCAGTTAGATTATATTTCATTCCTTGGTGGCATCGGTGGTGGAAAGTTGAGCCAGCACAGATTGAAGGGACTCCTGGCCTCGAGGTGAAGCCCGGCATGGACATGTTTTATACGACTGTAAAGCTGAACTTTGCCCTTTATTTCTTTATTCTTCTCATTTATACCTAATATTTTGTACCTAGGTAACCTTGCACCCAGTTTTATAAGGACTGAAATGCTGATCTTTTACCTTTAGTTCTTCATTTTTCTAATTTGTAACTATGATTTTGTACCTAAAATGGCGCCAGAAGTGGTGACTTTGTACACTTTTCACTGTCCTCATTTATCTGTGTACTTGAATACATGTGACAATAAACCCAATTCTAAAGTGTATTTGATATATTCAACAAGTTACGGTAAATTAATCTAAGGGGAGAAAATGACTGTGCATCCTTAAAATTTGTGTTGAAGATTATGCTACTTAACTGTTCAGCGCTGCTTGGGTTAATTAATCAAGATTTCTTGCAGCAGATATAACACATAACAATTCATCCAATATTTAATTTTAAATATGGGGAATATTTGTTAAAACAAATCAGAGGTGATGGTTCTAAGCTTGAAGGGGAATTTGTGGAGCTATGGATAAGTTTAGTACCTGAAAGCCATTCCCAGTTAAGGCTCACTAGAACTGATCTACCTGATTTCTGATCAGTAACATAACTAAAATTGGTAATGGAAGGTTAACACGTCGAAGGAGCTTTACCTTCTTCATCTTCCCACTCGAGGTCCAATGAAGTACTATCATCGTTTGTTGACTTGGTTTTTGTCGTCAAGTCACAGCTGCTTTCAGTGTTTGGTGTCAGAATAGTCGCCTCTGAGGAGATTCCTAGTACGAAGGCAGAAACAAATCTTAGAATGTAAGATGGTTATATTCTCTCTAAAAATGTGCAGATTATAGGTCAAATTAAAAACGTGTACTGATTAAACTCATCACAGTTATGACACAAAGCTATAGAGAATAAATCATAGTTGATCCAGTAATAACAACTGTAGAGTCCTATCATTTCATATTCTAACCTTATTAAAAATGTTTTTTTTTAAACTGATAATTGAAAAATAACTCAGCCAGCGTCAATGTTCACATTGTGTGAACAATCATGAATAATTCATTCTGTACTTAAGTATTCTACAGACATAAAATGTGACTATACATTTATTATTTATACAGCTAGCTGTACTCGGTGAATGTGAAAATACTGTAACCACATAATAAATGTTGTGCAGTACAAAGCATTGCTTTATTTGATTTGCTGTCATTCAATTTATTAGCAAATTTCAAGGGACACATCAAAAAATTAAATAGCTATATTGTTAAGAGTTTGATTTTCCAAGTACAGACTGGGCAAAACAGCGTTAAACATTGTGAAGGAGAAGCATTTCTGATATATATACACAGGAGAATCTTCCTGATCTAAAGGTCTCCAGTTGATAAGGAAGCAAACAAAGATTAGTTCTGGAAAATAAAGTAAAGCAATTGGAGCTAGTTACAATACAATCCATATCCTGTCCTTATTTAATCTAGTATCTTAACAACTTTAGGCCCAAAGCAATGTGGCAACTCTCAATTGCCTTGGGAAATGACCTAACAAATCATTTAGTAGTCAACAAGGTGATTAACCACCTCTTTCTAAACTGCAATTAACGATGGGCAATAAACACCAGCCTTGCCAATGGTGTATATGTTTGTAAATGATTAAAATCAAACCTAGCCAATAGTAACAATACACTTCAGTTTAAGGTAACATAACAAGAGATCACAAAATAGCAAAAGGAGAAATTGCTGACAAACTGATTTCAAGGAAAAATGGAGCACTGTTTAACTTGCAATCATCATTTCCAGTTTAAGCAATTAAAGCAAGAGAGGGCATTCACAGAAGAGATAGTACAGGTATAATTACTACATATTCTTTTGAAGGGAAAAGGTAGAACACCTAAAGAATACAGCCTGGATGAAGAAAATCAAAATTTAAACGGAACTGAGAACGGAAGAGCTATGTTAAGAGTATGGTTTAGTTATTAATCAATAGGATATGGAAAGTATAAAAATCAATTGAGAATATTTAATACAGGAAGCAGAGATTAGCGGGCAATATAAAACTGACCCCAAAGCATATAAACATAAAATGTCCAAGTGGTTAGCCAAGAAGTAAATGTTGATTTTATTGAGGATCCTTAGGGGAATTTGCAAGTAGTTGCAGAGGATATGGCAAATATTAAACAAGCACTTTGTATCTGTCTTTACAGAAGTGGATAATTTGAAGATTTTTTTTTAAAAAGAGGATGGGGAAGTTCTGAATAGGATATCAATACACAGATAAGTCACAGTAAAAGGAATAGCATTACTGAAAATCGGTTACCTCACCCAGATGGATTATGTTCTTGGTTGCTGACAGGAATTGGCCACATTCTTTCAAACCTTTGAGTATAGAACTAGTCAGAGTGAATCAAGGCAGGGCTTATGCAGTTAATGGTAGGGAGTGTTGCTGAACAGAGACCTAGGGGTGCAGTTGCCTAGCTCGTTGAAAGTGGAGTCGCAGGTAGACAGGGTGGCGAAGGCGGTGTTGGTAAGCTTGCCTTCACTGGTCAGTGCTTTGAATATAGGAGTTGGGATGTCATATTGTGGCTGCACAGAACATTGGTGAGGCCACTTTTAGAACTGTGTTCAATTCTGGTCTCCCCACTACAGCAAAGATGTGGTTAAACTTGAAAAAGTTCAGAAAAGATTTACAAGGATGTTGCCAGGATTGGAGGGTTTGAGCTGTAGGGAGAGGATGAATAAACTGGAGCCTTTCGCCTGGAGAGTCAGAAGCTGAGGGGTGACCTTATAGAAGGTTTATAAAATCATGAGGGGCATGGATAGGGCGAAGAGCCAAGGTCTTTATCCCAGGGTAGGGGAGTCTTAAACTAGAAAGCATAAGTTTAAAGTGAGGGGGGAAAGATTTGAAAGGGACCTAAGGGGCAGCTTTTTCAGAGGGTGGTGCGTGTATGGAATGAGCTGCCAGAAGAAGTGGTGGAGGCACATGTCATTTAAAAGGCTTCTGGATGGGTACATGAATAGGAAGGGTTTAGAGAGAAACAAGGTAAACGCTGACAAATGGGACTGGATCAGTTTAGGTTATCTGGTCAGCATGGACGAGTTGGACCAAAAGGTCCATTTCCACGTATGGAGGATTACTCACATCCTAACACTATTCAACAAAGCAGAGAAGTTATAGGCCAAATAGCCAAACATTTTGGACAAGTTTTTGAAACCATCATCAGGAACAAAATAAACATTAAATTTAGAAAGGCTTGGGTTACTTGAATACAGCTAGTGTAAATTTCTCAAAGACAAATTGTATGACTATCTTGCTTGATTTTTTTTGGGGGGTGGGGTAACAGAAAACATTGTTCAAGGTACTAAATGGACAATATGCAGGTACATGAATTTTTGGAAGAAATTCAAAAATATGACACACTGGAGGTGGAAACCTTTAAAAACAAGGGGAATGGTAGTATGGCTCAAAAAAGGCTCAGTGACACAAGTAACGATTGGTGGCAAACTGGGAGCAGACTTTCAAGGGGCTGCATGGTTTATTCCTTCTCCTTGTTCATAAAATGCTGTGGACGTTGAAAATCTGAAATTAAAGGAAAAACAGAAAATCCTGGACAACCCAACACAGCAAGCAGCATTTGTGGAGAGAGAACCAGAGTGAATGACTATGACTGCAGAATGAGAAAGAACAGCAATGCTGGGAGGACACCCAGAATCACGCACTCCATCCTGTAATGAATGTATAACTGTTTCATTAACTTGGGTCAATATTCACGAATTCTAGGTGCAACATCAGCAAATAACTCCCAATAATTCTAGATGGTGTCCCACCATTACCTTCTCTGAAAACTACAGCAGGGCAATAAATGAGGCCATGCCAGCACCATCCAAATCAATAACAAAAATCTGACAAGTACTCTATATTTTCTTTACCTATTCTGTTGATGATTTCTACAAAAAGAAAACATTTTTCAAACAGGAAATCCCTCAAATAAAGCCATACTGGCTGTCTTAATTAACCTAAAAATTTCAAACACTCACTCATTTGATTTAAAATTATTGACCCTTTATACTTTATCCACACAGTATTACAGTTAAATCTACCAAGTTTGTCCTTCTCCAGAGGAAGGATAAGTGATTGTTGGAGTCAATCATCCCAAACTTTAACCTTTCTGGAGGAGTTCAAGCTGATTCACTTTCAGCTGCTCCATTCAAGACCTTCCTTCCAACACAAGGTCAGATTTCAATCACAATGTTTTAAACAAAGAAGTCTGTAACCACATACAGAATGATATAGACAATATCTAGACTTGGGTTGATACATGGAAAGTAGTATTCATTCCACAAGTGACAGACAAAGACCATCATCAACAAGGAAAAATTCAATCCACTCCTTTGCCAATCAAGTCCAAGAAGGCAGTTAACCATCACCTCAGAAGCAACAAATTCTGGCCTTTCCAGTGACACTTCTATGCGATAGATTTAAAAATAAGTATTACTGAGCAAGAGTCAATGTCTTGTGGCATAATTCAGGTGTCTAAACTGGCTGAAGTTTTGAACCATATTCTCCACTATCTCCCCTGACTTTTTCCACGCATGTCCACGTCATAGCCCTGCTGACTTGTGCTCCTAGTGTTCTGTTTATTCTTTCAAAACCATTCCTTTACTCTTGGTACTTCACATCTGCATGTAGTATCTCTACTTGCACATCATTCATGAAAATACTAAGAGTACTTATTTTACCAAAAATTGGTTAACTTTTATCTTCAGTTTTACAACCTTCAGTTTTACAACATCTGAGTGATTCTAATTTAAAAAATTTATCTTCAAAAAAATACATCAGCTTTTTTTTTAAATGATATTAAACTTGAGACCTTCTAAACTAATGTGTTTTCTACATTATCCACGAGTACCTTTAGTATCAGTGTGATGTGGCTGTACTACTATTACTTAAGCATCTGTTCTGGTTTAGACCTGTTAATTTTTTGATGCCACTCTAGATTTTAGTTCATATTCTTTATGCCATGTGGTTTTATTTTTCAAATGTTTCCTATTTGACTATGTCCCATTGCTGATCTGTTGGCCTGGTCATCTTTCTGGCCTATGAATTTGTTCCAGATCCTCTTTTAACTTTGCTATCTCACCCGAAATTGTTTCAGAAATATTTGGCCAAATCTCGTGGGTAAAATACTGTGGTAACAGATTATTAAGGACTGAGTTGTCTAAAACTTTCAGGACAATCAAAAAACCCCACTACTGCTGCTTGCTTTCCACCATTCTGCTGTCTGACTTGCACGTAGTATCTCCATCACTTTTAAAGGAATTGCTGGATTTGATTATTAATTGCTAATTAACCTCACCATAGAAAGCTGCAATTAAGTGCAATTTATTGATTGTTAATGCAATGCCAAATCAACCTGACAATCACTTCTTTCACAACATCTTTACCTCAGCCAGGAGGTTTAGGTTCAAGTCCCAACCTGCTCTAGAGGTGTGTAATAACATCTTTGAAAAGGTCAATTATAAAATATCAACCTCTCTGGCCCATAAAGGGATCAATTTAAACCATTCAACCATATTCCTGCATTCAGTCAATTGAGGGATTTAAAGAAAAGGTTACAATCACATTTCCTACGTTTTCTTCAGGTTTCATAAACCCATTTCAATTTTGAAACGGCATCACCTACGGTCTTAAATGTGGCAGGCTGATAAAACAGAGGGCTGAGTTTTCCCATTTTCAGTTGAAGTATCTTGTCAAATGTGATTCATGGTGATCTGTCTGCCATGGCTCA